GCGCCAAAAACACCCCCCCCCCAAATATATATGTAATTTGCGCCACTTTCTTAGGTTGTAGTTTACGCCACACAAAACTAAAAGGGCATTAAGTAATCTGCTCCATCGTCTACCTACAAAAATTGTAATATGCGCCATTGTTCACCTTGTTAAAATTGTAATTTGCACCATTTTAAAATAAATAAATATTGAAGTTTATTTTAATAGAAAATCAGTAATATTATAATTGTAAATAAATGTATACAAGTATACGTACTTAATGTATATTAAATAAATATATTATTAATATACTTGCGATTAATATCGGACTAACTGTAGATATCTTGATACTGCTGTTCAATATTGTTCGATATTTTGACAATTGATAATTTTTATTAGATTAGATGTAATCTATCTCGTCTCTACTTATTATTAGTAGAACACAACAATATTATATCCGGCACGCGTTGTTGTTATCGTATTTCCGATGCGATATCAGTAAATTTCAACAATTAAAGTTGAACGTGTGGCGCAGATTACCTACATATTCCATTTCGTTTTCAGTCGTGGCGCCAGGGGCGCTACACTGGGACCAAAGTGGGCAAGGCCCCCCCCCAACATTTGATTTTGCCCCTCCTTTGTCCCCCTATAATTTAATGTTGAACATTTTAATCTAATCTAAAAATGCATTTTATATTGAGCATTTTATTAATTACTATAATATATAATCTCGTATATAATATAATGCCATCCTAATTATTTGTAATTATTCATGTTCATTTAATACTAGTAACTATAATGGTATATTGATATTTAGATATAGGTATACATGATAATTAAATAAAATAAATAATGCTAGCATAATAAATAGCATTTATTGATTTTTATTTTAATACATATATAATAGTAATAATACTAGTATTAGATCATCTGATTTTAGAAACAAGGTGTTTTTGAAAAATGTATAGTACAAAAGTAATTGTATTGAAAATTTTCAACGACTGAAATTTTTCAAGTTCTTTCCAATTTTTAAATTTTTAATAAAATAATACAATTTGCAATTGTGCGTGTTCAGTAATAATAACGATAGTGATAAAAAGTCCACTAATTCTTTCTTTAATTATTTCTCTGTATTTGTTTAATTGCAATGAACATAAAATATGAATGTGCATAATATTATAGCACATTCGTATGTCATAAGTAACTCATAAGTCATATTATAACCTTATTTCAAGTTTATATAAAACATATTATAAGTGCTTTAGGTTCTACCTTATAGCAACTATGGATTCCATTATAAAATTGAATTGTGACGATATTTCTGATAGCAATAAGTCGTTGCGTTTTTCCATCATACCCAATATAACGTTCATTATATAGCTTAGAAATAGAAAATTTTCAATATTAGATTCTGAGCGGAGCAAGGTTTTACAATGGTGTTTATTTTTTTTATTTTTTTTATTCTTTTTTTTATATCCTGTATACAAAATTTCTACCAGAAGGAGTGCTTTGATTTCAACATATAGTACCTTATCTTTTAGCAAATTGGACCAAGATGGTACTTTAGAGAGGTCATTTTTCGATTTTCTCAATAGTTATTTAATGCCACGGGAAAAAGTACTGAAAAATTACGAAAAACCGCTTAAAATGGGATTTTAATTTCTAACAATTTGTTATCACCGTAGCAACGAATAAATAAATACAATAAATACTGAAAATGTATAAAATGAATAACGATTTTAATTATTTTGTTGTAGTTTATAGTATTAAAACAACTTACATGTTATAATAATTAATGACAATATAAAATATACAGACTGACAAACCGTCTCCGTTCAGAATCGTTTTTCTTATACAATGATATTATATCATTGAATTCTAGTTTAATACAATTGTCATCCATTTAACAATGACCAACTTGTAACCTACTGTACAGCTGAGCGACATCCACTTACCTGCCTTTTTTAAGATACCTTTAACTTTTCAAAATTTTAATTTTAAAGAAAAACGGAACTACTTGCTCTCAGAAATATTGTCACAAGTCAATTTTATGCTAAGCATTTTTATTCTAGTACCAAAATTGAGCGAGTTCTACTCAGACTGCGTAAACGCGTTTTGTCTATGTCGTACGTAAGACGGAGACAACACATGCAGGTGTGACATCCTCTTAACGAATGATTCACAATTTAGTCATGTTTATCACTGACTAATATTTTGATAAAATATCAATGAGTGTTATTTTTATTTGTGGAACGAATACCTAAATTATTGTACTTTTTGAATTTATCAATAAAAATTATATAATCTTTAATAATTGTTCTTGTTATGAATTAACGAATAATTTTCATTTAAATCCTATCGTGTAGCCGTGTAGGTTCTTTGTGGTGGAATTTATCATATTTAACATTAGATTGATGGTGTATGGAAATGTTTGTTTTAAAAACTTGTCATTATTGTTACTTGTATAATAATATTAATAACTTGTGTTAATGGCACGAATGAAACGTATGTATTTAATAACAGAATAACCCCCACCTTCCTACTAAAAAAGGTCTGAAAAAATGTTATTCACAAAATATATATATACAGTTGGTAGTGTTTATTTTAAAAGCCGTATTGCTATAATTATTATCGTGTTATATGTATTTATATATTTTTTTGTTTTAATTCTGCATCAGCAGCAGCGTTTATATTTACTACGGTCGTTCGTCAATAGGTGGGGTGGTGTGGTTTCTCGCTTGCTCTCCGTCCTCCCCGATCGTCTTCCATAATGTTACACGAGAAAATCGTTGGAAAGCCGCGGTGAGGACAACCCTTTGAGGGGGAGGAAAAAAAAACGATGAAGATGATAATAGTAATAATAATAATATGTATGTCTTTATGCATAATAAAACACGCTTAAGCCGGTGCCGGAAAGCATATTTTTTTAGTTTTTACACGGTGTCCGTCCCCCCTTCTCACTTGCTGGTCGGTCTCGTTATCTTTCTCACTCACTCTCTCCCGGGCCGACGCACACCACTCGTCGTCTAAAAAAGGCCAGTAGTAGTAGTGAGTTGTAGTTATCTCGTCCGGTCACCGCCGCGTCACACTCTCCCACTCACACACATACACGCGCGCGCCTCGGAACCGCCGACGCCGCCGCCGCCGCAATAGTGGTCTTATAATAATCGTCCACGGTATCGGTCCAGTCAACCGCGTGGCTTTCGTGCGTATCGTTCGACGTTACCGTCGCCGCCGTCGTCGTCGCGTTAAGTGACATGAAACACTTCCGAAAATCAAAATAATCTATATAATACGTATATTTCTGGTACGCAATCAGAGAAGTATCTAATCTTACACATCTGTCCTAGTGTTTCGGAATAATATTTGTTACGCGTGGTGATTTATTTTTTAAAAAAAATTTTATGAAATAAGGTAAATTTTTTTTTTAAATTTTTTTTTTTGCTCATGCCATATTGTAAGGTCGGTTTCTCGATTGTCTCTGCAGATTATAGCGGGTGTCGAGACATCGGGATTGCCGCCGTGTGTTCTGTCCCGCAATGGGTTCGGTTTTTGTCGTCGCGTACATAATTTGATTTTTTTTAATTGCTTAGCATTAATACTCTACCTGTGTGTACATTTCGTCTCCCTCTCTCGCTCGCCGCTCGGTGACATCCGCGTACACGTCCCTGGCTGATGAACCGGCAACGTTTGCTAGTTGAATTATGTATAATATGCTCTCTCGTTCGTTGTGGTGATGGTGATGGGTGGTGTACGTGGGTCGAATCACAATTTATTATATTACATTCGATTTTAAAGACGGCTTTACTATACCTATATAATATGAAAAACATGCGCGCGCGAAATGCATCGCCCGCAGTCGACGATGGGTGTTTTGACGCGTTACCGTGACGTCACCGTCATGGACGGCGGCGGATAGCACGTGCAGCCGCACCAGCAGTTTTAGTAACGCTCTTTTTGAAACTATAAATTATTATACATAATATTATGTTATTAGTTACTTAGGTTCTACGTACGTTTTAGCGTGATGAAAACTTACAAGTCAATTATTTTTTTTTTATTTCAATCTTAAAACTCCTTTGAACAACGGTTGATAAATTATTGTTGACGACTTGTAGGTAATATAATAATATTATCGTTGCAGTGGGTAAAACTTTGGTTCGATTTTGCGTCGAAACCCTCGTGTGAAATGCGGAAACTAGATGGAAATCAATCGATCTACCTTTACTATTAAGTCATAACCCCGTCACTGCAAAGTACACAAATACACGCACAAACAATACAATAGGTACAATATTATATTATAATAATGTATAATATGGCTTCTTTACGTAACCCGAAGAACTTTTATATTTCCTTACGATCGTCGCATCGGCCGAGCACGTTTTATGCTCTACAGCAAGCTGCTGGCGACCGTGATGATAACGTTTTCAGTTTTCAATATTAGTATTAATCGTTATAATATAATATAAAATATAATATTATGCTATTACAATGTTACGATATATGCTTAAATATGGGTTTGCTTACAATATAGGGAGGTCAACTTACACTATGCCTATATTTAACTATGTGATAATAGCTACAAGAGTAACAAACCTTCGTAGTACTTAAATTATTATTATTATTCGCGCGTAATATTTATAAATGTATAAAAAAAAATTGTTCTAGTGTTTATTATAAAATCGCACCTGTCCTTCCTGTTTATAATATAATATTATACCCTGTACGCGGTTTTCCTGGTTGAGACATCTTGTTATCATATCGCGTCGAATACCTGTTTTTTTTTTTGTTTATTACGTGAGTTTGTTCGGTTTGCGCGGACGATTCGACTTGTATACCGTTGTTGCTTTGTTTTTTGTTTTTTTCTTCTCCCGCCATGTAAACGTTTCTAGTTATATACGTATAAATTAATACCTATGTCTTTTTTCGTTTTATTTCAGTACCTACATACTGGGACAACTACTACAGTCACCACACAGATCTAAAAGAGAAGATAACAATAATAAACAAAAAAAAAAATGGCACAACTAGTCTTAAACTTTATCGACAGTTACCACGACATAATGGACAACAAAAGTGGTTAGTACTTTTATAATATTAAATATTTTTTTCATTTAACGGTATCAACGTTTCGATTTCGGTATTACGTCAAAAATAAAATCTTAATTCTAAAAGAATTATGTTGTACCTGCTGAACAGGTGGATATGTGTAGGTACCTATAGGAAGTGCGATTACTACTATGTAATCGGCGGGGACAAAAATTTGCTCGGAGAAAGGTGTAGATGTAGATGTAGGTCATTAAGTAATATTTTTCTAACGAATGTATGTTTTATTTATTCTAATAAACGCTCTTTTTCGCAGTTGGCTATATACCTATACGTTTTTAAAATTACAAACAACTATATAAATCATGGGTAGTCATTATTATGGTTTCCGATTATGTGAAAATCTATAAAATGCATATAACGTTTAGTGTGTGCTAAAACGATCGAATGCTTTTCTATAAGTCATTTTTATTCGTTTCTAAATTATTTAAACACTGAAATAGGACGATGGACCCTGCAGGATCGATTATGATAAATGCATATTACATCATAATTCATAGGTATTATGTTAAATTTTTAACGTGACACGTGTTTATCTTGCAACCCTAGAATAAACGTTATGTTAAAGCAAATCATTGTATACTTTTATATTATTATGTTGGTTTTGTACGCTTATATGTATCGTAGAAAGTGCACGGTATCTACCAGTTATATACCATTCGTGACAGCTCCAGCTGTTATCGGCATTCTGGTTTCTATTGTACACGCCATAAAATTCCTTCCCGAATCTTGAAAACATCCTTATATTCTAAATTTCAAAACAAATCTTTTATCGGTTTTTTTTTTGCTTCTGTTCCTGTTTTTTTTTTTGCACGCTTCCGAATGTACCTAATATAATATATTGTAGTATGGTTTTAAAACGTATCATTCTAAATAAAATGCCATCTTTGTTTTCCTTTTCTTCACATAATATAATACAATATATTATAATATAAATAAAATACACCTACCTATTGAAATATTTTCTTTTATTATTCTTTTCCTGGGATTTGAAATAATTCCTTTAGTAGATAGGCAGGGACAGGTTATTTGACTCTGACATGCGTCACCTTCTAAATTAGATTGCTATTCATTTTAAAAGTTTATAATGATGCCTGTGTTTATTTTAATACCTTGTTTTTAAATTTTGTTTTATTAAGTTTTTAATAAGATATAATTTTATAAAATATTGTTTAATTATTAGTATACACATAGGTACCTATATTTTATTTTATTGAACTATGGTAGTTAGTTAGTTAGTAGCTATAAGACAAAAAGGACGTTGTCAGTTTAGTCGATGTGATCTGAAACTGTAACTTCGAAAAATGTTATAAATTTATATATTTTAGATAGGTGCTATATCCGGTATTATATATTTCTATGTTATAATATTATAATTATTATAATAGATATTTAATTATATTTTTATTAGTTTTCCAACTTTTTAACTAATCGTTATTAAAATTATTATAATTGTTATTTTAATAATTATAACTTTAGCTGACGCATTGCTTGAAATATACTTAAAATATAACTATTTATAATATATACAAGATGTAACATCAAGACTTGACGAAAAAAAAAATGATGTTACTTAAACGTACGATGAAAATTGTTAAAATTATATGATTAGTAAATAGCTTAAGTAATATACTCACGTCAGCAAATTCCCAAAAAAAAAAATATTTTGAAAAAAGTTATTACGTTCCAAATTCATTTAATCAAAAAAATATTGATATTTAAAAAAATTCTAAATAATAAACTACTTGACTTAGATAAATGTTTTTATACCTACTCAGATTCACAAATTGGCTACTTTGAAAATATCCAAAAAAATTTAAATCAAATTTAAATTTTTTTATTTTCAGTGTTAAAAATAAAAAAAAATTGTATTATATATTTGTATAAGAAAATTAAAGTATTGATTGGAACAAAAATTATTCCAAAAGTTACCCAGATACATTAGGTATTGAAAATACAAAGAAAAAAAGTTAAGCTTTATTTTTTTAAAGGCAGGCCTTATGAATTGTGTAAAAAATTATTTAGATTAACTTATTATCAACACGGTGAAATAAACTAGGCCCCCTAACTATTATTTTCTTTAAGAAAATTCAAAATATACACGTAATATATTGAGGCCCCGGGGCACCTCCCTACTTTGCCCTTTTATAAAGCTACGCTACTGACCCAATGTCAATGTTTGAAATGTAGTTTATCGTATTTTTACTCTTATAATTCTAATAAGAATTCTGTAGACCTAACTATTCTTTGTTGTATCCTTATTAAATATACTTAAATTAGTAATTATATCGTTTTAAAGGACATCTCAATCAGCATCACTTATATTTAAAGTAGTTAAGAATCACTCACTATTGTATTGATATCCAGTCGATCGTTTTAAGATAAGAAAATATTTAATAGGTAATACCCTAACTTTGGTTTTATAAATTGATTGAGTAAAAATACATTATGAAATAATTTTAAATAATACATAAACATTATTAACATAATATGAAAATAATTAAAATCGTTATGTTCACAATATTGATATAATTATCATAATTATTAAAACAATTTAAATATCATTAAATGATTACATCTAACTATAGGTGAACAAAATTATGCCTAGAAAAGTTGTTTAATTTTGTGCACTTACCTATATTCTGTTATTAGTTAAAATTGGGTATAGATACTGAATATAAATTATGCGCTAAGCCAATTAATCCTATATACTATATTCAGTTATTCACTAGGTACCTACGTGTGACGTCTATAATTATTATTATATATAAAACAAATTATTAAATATAATATAATATTATTAGACATTATTTTTTTTAGAAATAGCGTTTATTATTATAATTTACAATCTATACAAATAATCAGTCAGTAAAATATGCGTTGACATAGTATAGACATTATTATTAGGTATTTCCTTTAAACACATTATAAGTTCACCTTTTGCTGCAAGGCCTTCTGTCCTAAATTTAAGATCATGAACTATTAGAATGTATAACTTAAATATATAAACTGTGGCATTTATTACTACATTAAAGGAAATGTTTATTTATGTGTTTGATTATTATGCACGCAAAATGAAGATTTAATATTAGCGCCTGAATAATTTTGATTTTTGTTTTTTAATTATCCTATCAGTTTTGTTCAGTTTACGTTAGATTGTATACATGTTAACAGGATTATCAGCTGCTATTGGCTCTAGCCCCTAAATAGAAACATTTTGTAATCAAAAGTTGAATGCATCCGAGGGCACTGACCTGTTAGTTGTAGGTATAGTACTTGTATGCCATACCGCAACATGTATCAACAAATATAGAAAACAGTCAATATTTTATTTTAGCTATTTAATACTTGTGCCGTTTAAAATGTATTCCATCACATAAGTATTTAAAATTATTAGTTATTTGGTGTTTGTAATTTTTAAGACAATAATATATTCACGTTTGGTGTTGAAATCATGGCAGATTATTTGTAATGATAATGATATTAATATTAACCATTGCATTATTTACATTATATTGTACTTTAAATAATTTGACACACTAATGGTAATAATATATTTTTGGAACATTGGAAGTCTTAAATTAATATCTTATATTCACTATAATATGGGTACCTATGTGGCATGTATATAGTTGTATGAGTACTTATTTTTGTTGTTCTCAAGTTTTTATAAATTAGTAATTATTGACTAGGGATTGTTATTTTTATTCGGTGTTAAGTCAAATAAAACTATTATTATTTTTTTTTTTTTTATAAATCGGTCAATAATATAACTACCCCTCGTATTAAACGATATTTTGCGAACCTATGCAGTATAATATTCAAGTCTAGTATATATATATAAAAAAATTTGGTCTACCGTGTATAGCAGACTATTCCTTCCTTCCGTTTTAGATTGGTTTTTTTACCACTTACGAACATATTACATTATGAATCTCAAAAATGTTCACTTATTTTTAATTTTACGTATTTATATTTCAGATCCCAGAGTAAACGGCTGGCCGATGTTGTCCAGTCCATTCCCGACGCTGTTTATATGTCTGTTCTATGGTTACTTTGCCAAGACGCTCGGGCCAAGACTGATGGAAAACCGAAAACCTTTTCAACTTAGAAAAGTTCTCATAGTTTATAATGCAATACAAACGATGTTCAGCGCTTGGATATTCTATGAAGTAAGTACATATGCCGGCCACGTGCACTTTTTGCCAATTACTGAATATTGTAGATGGATTATGTGATAGGAATTTAGTGGTACGTAAATTATAATTCAAACGTGTGTTTGTGTCATTTGCGTTTCCGCGTTTAGTTTCCTCGTTTTTAATCTTGCCTTCATGATGCAATAGAAAAAATCAACAATATTATTTTTTACAGTCCTTTTGAATGACGATTTAAACATTTATGGTAGGTAAATTTTTCGAGTACTTTACATTGTATATTATACTCTTATTACCCTTTACTTTGTATACGTTTTTTAAAGAATAAGCTTTTGTAAATAATTTACAATCATTGTGGTCTATAGAATGTAATATTTATGCAACTAGAACGTCGTTATTCGTTATAACTTATAACGCTTCTGTAAAGTAAGGTGATGACGTCTTTCTGTTAAGTTATAATAATAATTATTATATTGTTATATTATTACAAACATTCGGCCATGACCTTTGTTTGTTCTTTTTATATTTGGACGAATCATATTTCTGGAACGGTCGGATAGCTAACGCTGTGATACTCAAGTAAATTAGCGTGGGTTAATATGTTTTCCGATTTTATAGAACTTAATACCTTAACTTAAAATACCTAAATACCTTAAGAACTTTAATACCTAGTATAATTAATTATTAGGTACCTACTTTAGTTATATTCTGCTTATAACTTAGGAATAATTATAAAGAAATAAGAAATAATTCTATTTACCTAACTATATAATATAGAATATTTAAATCGTACCAAAATATTTTTTTTTATTTAAGCATCACGCTTCGTTCTTTCTATAATTAATATTGTTTAATTAATGGAAATTATTTATAACTGTAACTATGCATAAATTAATATAGAAAATAGGTACTAATTTGTATGTGAATTAAAAAAAAAATAGTGTTGAAGAGATAATTTTATTCATTAACCATCATATAATGTCTTGGATGCCATTAGGTTAACGTATTAAATTAGGTCATTCGAAAAGGTTTGGTGTTTTATATGGGTGCTGAATGATTAGGTGATGAGTGATGACCGTATTTCTGCAGTGTGTCCGTGTTAGGGTACAGACATTTTTTATATAATTTTTTTTTAATTTTTGTACGAGTATATTTGGGTTTGGTATTACTGGCTATTAGAGTTTCTGGACAAATGTCTTCGGTGTTATTTTAATTTCAAACCGATGTCTTTTATTGGATCTGTTTAAAAAGAAATGAATATTAAGTAATATATAACTCCATATCATACATAATCCATTTAAATATTTAATACATTATTATAAATCTATTTAACTTCCATTTTGTTTCTTTGAAGTAATTATAAATAATTTATAATACCTATTGCTAGATCTTTTACAAATAATATATATTTATATTTTCTTATTATTATACATTTGTTATCTATTAAACTTCAAAATATGTACATAATATTATATAGTTACTGATATTCAAATATCAATTAATAAAATAATTATTTATTATTTCTGCGCTTGAAAGTTAATGGAAAAAATTTAAACCAAAAATAGATTTACTTCGTTAAATGAAAAATGTATTAAATTAATTTTGAACACTTATTAAGTACATTTATAACAAACTACAAAAATATTTTTTAAAAATGGGAAAATATAAGCAGGTACCTACCTACCAACAACGTGGTTATCATTCTATTTTGTATTTCCATTTAGATAAATTTGTATAAGCAGTAAAAATTAATTTAAATCATTATTAAAATATATACAAATAATAAATAATTATATTATTATATGAACGTTAACCCTGATAATTTTTACTATTTTAAATTATTCGTAAAGATTTTTTTAGTTTTTAAAATAACTATTAATTTTAATAAGTCACAAAATTATAGATTATGTTACAACTATCTTAATCTTAATTAGGTAATGTTACCTTACTTGGTCTTTAAGTTATTTTTGTGTAAGATCGGAAGTACATATTACTGTAGCTTGTTTCTCAAACTAAACAACTGTGGGTAGGTATTTACTTTTATTAACCCCAATGGCATTCATCTGTAGTACAGATACAAGTTAGAATTGATTAATCTACTTTAAACATAGTAAAATTCCTTGTTTTACAACTAGAATATAAGAATCTTGTTTTACGCAAGGTTAAATACTAGAGTAAATCATCTGCATTAATCGATCGTAATAATATTATATCGTCGTTCTAAAAAATTATTACATTTTAATACATTTAGATTCGTATTTTCAATTTATATAGAATTATTTCTTTGGTGTTGAACTATTAAAACTGTTAACACTTATTTCGGAAATTATTCAATATCCTGTAGTGTACTTGCGTACTTAATGTAATTAATCAAACTTATTTAAATATTATTTATATTTTTGCGTGTAACCAGCTGGTATATATTATTTTCTGTGTATTTATTTAGCGTTTTTTTCTAATTTATTTATGGAGTTGTTATAATTGCTAGTATTTGAGATTACGCTGTGTACTACTTTTATTATGAATTTTATATGTATATTTACATGTTGTGGTCGAAACTGTATTTTTAAGTACAGTTTGGCAAACGTATATATACCGCGATTAGGCTGAAATTAAATTGGCTGATTCTTCGGTATTGTTTAAGATGGCTGCATATATATTTGTAATCAATCTGTAAACGCGTGTATCTGACCCAAATACGTTCTTTGTCCATTATTTTTAAAATTTTTTTTTTCCAAATTAATTAATGATTATTTGATAATAATATAATAGTTTTTTAATAATTTCAATTGTACATGTTTACATAATATTATATAGTACACGATACGAAGAGTTTTCATGAGCTTACATTACAAAAAAATAAAAAAATAACAATAATGATAATAAGCGTAAGCCGTTTGAGAAACGCAATGCACTTCATAAATTCATATCATAAAACGTCCAATTATTTTTCTAAATTATAAAAAATAATATTAATGTGTTTTAAAATTTAATCTTTTTATTGTAACATGTATACCTAATATGGTTTTCAAAAAAATGGAGTTATACAATTTCAAAAAGACATGAGTGGAATTAATTTTTATCCTCCTTGAAGTTCGAATTACCGACTCTACAGTAATATAAATTATAATATAGGTAACGATGTGGTATGCATCCGACACATAATAAGGTTCATCGGGTCACAATTAGTCATGGTCCCCAATTCGGCCTTGACTTAATTACTATTTTTTTTCCTAATATATTATCGTTTTTGTCAACTTCATTATAATTTCATTTATTTTCATTCATTTTTTTTTTGTTTTTGAAAACTTACCATACTTAACTGTTTTTAAAGGCTACGAAGGCCGAACCGGAGACATAATATTTTATCCATTATACGTATATATTTATATGTTAGAACTATCGACGACTATAAAAAATACACTCCTAATTCAAAAATAATGTTGTGTTTTCGCAGTATATGATGAGCGGCTGGGGAGGATCGTACAGTCTAAAATGTCAGCCGGTCGACTATTCCTATAGTCCGATGGCCTTACGAGTGAGTATTATATAATATCTATAATATCATCTAATTTGATTTTGGATCCATTATAATTTGTATATTACATTAATAATATATATAAATTCATTTTTGATTTGTTATTTTATATTTTGTTAACAAATCATTGTAGTGTACCGCTTTGTAGTTGTATACTATAAGTATAGGACTACTGTCGTTATAATATGATAAAATAATACAATAACTATGCTCGTGTCTTTATTTTTTTAGATGGCCCAAACTTGCTGGTGGTACTATATTTCTAAATTCACCGAATTTTTCGACACTGTAAGTTTTTCTCGCGGAGACTGTTTAATATATAGATATTAATATATTATGTTATTATTATTATAATTGTGTGTTGTACCCGTGGATGGATGGATTTTAGAAATGGGATTGTGTTCACGAATATCGCGAGTGGTCAGCGTATAACAAAATATTTCATGATATACCCCGAAACTGTGTAGGTATATATATGTATAATATGGTTGGGTTGGGGTGCCTGAAAATAACCGGCCGCGTAGAAATAATTCACAGACGTCGTGTATATAATACCATAATATATATTAGCGGTGGCGGGCGTGTAGCGGGGAAGAAAAACAAAATCGATCGACCAATGTCACACGAGCTTTCGTGTTATTTTCGTACAACTCAATGCTATTGCCTTCTCTACTATATTCATTTTGAAGGGATGGGGGTGGAGGGTACGTTTTTGGCCTATATACATATATTGTATTATGTTGGGGTACCGCAGCTATTGTGTGTATAATATATCTCCAAAAAAAACTTCGGAGAAGTAAAACAAGTCTTCTGTGCTTTACTTAAATGGATTGGAGTACTTGGATTTTGAGGTAAATAAAAAATTGAAATCAATATCAAAATTCTGTGCTTAGTAGGTGCAAGAGAGAGTATAAAGAAAGTTCCTGTTAAAATTGTGGTAAATAAAGAAGTGAAATCAAACCTCAAAATTCTGTGCTAAAACTTAATTGACTATTGAAGAAAATTCGATGACATGCAATTTTACCACATTTTTAGCTAAAAAAAAAATTGCACAGAACGTTCCACATTTGCCCGCAAAAATTCACATGTCCATGGATGCACTTCGTTCTGTGCAATTTTTTTTTGTAGCTAAAAATGTGGTAAAATTGCATGTCATCGAATTTTTTTCAATAGTCAATTAAGTTTTAGCACAGAATTTTGAGGTTTGATTTCACTTCTTTATTTACCACAATTTTAACAGGAACTTTCTTTATACTCTCTCTTGCACCTACTAAGCACAGAATTTTGATATTGATTTCAATTTTTTATTTACCTCAAAATCCAAGTACTCCAATCCATTTAAGTAAAGCACAGAAGACTTGTTTTACTTCTCCGAAGTTTTTTTTGGAGATTTCAGCTATTTTTCTGAAGCAAGAGACATTAATTCTATATTGATAATGGTACTTTCCTGTTATACGAGACTACGGCTGTCATCGCGACTACCACCCAAGACTAGGTACCTCCGTTGTCGAGACTACCGCACTTATTTTGTGAAACATCACAATCCTGTTATCTAAGACTACCAAAATGGTACTTCCTGTTATACGTGACCACCTTTATTTTTCTTGCCTTCTTTGATAGATTTTTTAATAACATGTACTTTGGGGATGGCCAGAATGAAATAAAGAAAACATTTAAATACATAGTAATTATTCGTAATGTATTTTACATGTTACACGTCAAAGTGCCAAATTTGGCGCGATGTATGGAAAACAATAAATTAATAATAATAATACAAAATGGTAAATCCACAAATAAAATAATAAATAATTTAGGTACGTACTGTGGGGATGGCCACATTCAAATTATATAAAAAAAAATGTAATACATAATAATTATTTGTAATGTACCAAATTTGTCGCGGCATACGGAAAACAATAAAATAATAAAATAACAATAATAATACAAAATGATAAATCCACAAATATAATAAATATAATCGCAGCTTATGGATATCGTTCGACTATAATGTCAGCTAAATAAGATAGGTAGTCGCCATAACGGAGGTAGTCTTTGGTGGAAGTCGCGATAATAGCCGTAGTCTCGTATAACAGGAAAGTATAATTTTGGTAGTCTTAGATAACAGGATTGTGATGTTCTCAAAAAACAGGGTAGTCTAGTATAACAGGAAAGTACCTTGATAATCTATTCTATAATTATATATTATTTCTCTTCTAATACTAATATGTGAGCATTTTTTGAATTGATCGGCCATGGTCTTTTAATTAGTAGTTTATGCAGTACTTGCATAAAATACGGACTCCGCGAGACAGCAGAGAAAGATTAACATACGGCCGACCGTCGCCTCGGTACGTTTATCACTGTTATTGTAATAATGTACGCCGTACGGATGGTAATAAATAATAATCGAACGGACGGACAATATAGCTACAGTGCTACACACAAGTGACAAGTACACAACCTGCAACACGGCGGTTAGCGAGCAAATGAAATAGTAATAGGAATTAGGAGTAGGAAGCGCGTTGCGCAGTGCGCTATGCCACGCTGCCGCGCCGCCGTGCAACCAAGGTCACGCACTCACGCATGCGCATAATATAGGTAATGTTCGTGGAGGTCAGTGACTACTACACAATAATAATAATTATGTATTATACCTACCTACCTATTTAACTCTGTGTAATATAATTAACAAAAACCTTATGGTTTTCGCTTTGTTTTTTTGCAGTTGTTTTTCATACTCAGGAAGAAGAACCAACAAGTGTCGACGTTGCATGTCATCCACCACGGATGCATGCCGATGAGCGTCTGGATGGGAATGAAATTCGCCCCAGGTTTGTTAACATATTATATTATATTAATATTACCTATTCAATATTTATATATACGCTTATACCAACCTTAATTTAGCGTCAACAGAAGGAACCAAACATATGTACTTGGAATCATAACTATATAATATTATATAGTTAGAATTTAAATTTAAATTTAGTTAAATGTACTGAATTGCCCTCGTTTTAGTTAATTTTGAATGGTCTATATTGTTAGTGTACACTACTTCATATACTCATGAACTGAAATAGAAAAAAAATATTTGATACATTTATGACTCGCGTTGACCCCAGGAATCGAACCCGGTTACCCTGTGTTAATAATATACTGTAGACATTAGTATATATAGATATTTCTCACCTAAACTCATTCGCCTATACCTAATCACACGATAAACTAATATACTGATATCAAACTTTGTATTTAAAACATGTTACCGCTGTATATAATAAACATTATATATCATAATTATTAAATCTTAACTGTATGTAATCTATAGAAATTCGTTAACTTTATAATATAATCATTAAATCATAAAATATGTCCATTACACATTATTTTATTAAAATATATAATACGATATACGTAATGGTCTCGTCGTAAATATAATGATATCGATGTACCTATAACTATACAATTATTTATTAGGGCATAACAAATTATTTAAGGATAAATTTGTTAGTAGATACCTGTCTTATTTAGTTATACCGTGTGTAACAGAAAGAACTGACCAAAAAAAAAAAAAATTGATGCTACTTAAATGTATGACAAAAATTGTTGAAATTATATGATTAGTAAATAGTTTTAAGAATATACCCATGTTATAAAATTTCCAAAAATAATATTTTTAAAAAAGCTATTGCGTTCCAAATTTATTTTATCAAAAAAATATTGATATTTAAAAAAATTCTAAAAAATAAACTACTAGACTTAGATAAATGTTTTTACCATCCAAATCGTTCTTAAAATCAGATTCACAAGTTTGCTATTTTGAATTTATTCAAAAAATTTAAGTCAAATTTAAAATTTTTTATTTTTAGTATAAAAAAATAAAAATAATTTTTTTCCTCTTACACGTGTAGAACAAGTGGCTATAAATTATATATAAAAAAAAAAATTAAAAATAATGATCATAACAAAAGTTATTCCAAAAGTCAGTTCTATCTGTTACACCCTGTATAGCGTTTTAAACTTTTAAAGTGTTAACTATTAAATATCTTATATTTAATATTTTAAAATACATTAATACAAAAAAAAAAAAATGTTATCTATATTTATTAGTAATTTTAACTAAATAAAATAGATGCACCTATTCACAGCTAAAATACGATCAAGATTCAAGATATTAATAAACTATTTTTTCTTGCTCGCATTTATATTGCATACTGCATACTAAAGAGTAGTCCGTTTAAATGGATATACTAATTTTCATCGTTGGTTTCGTGTTTTTACAATACGATCTAAGCCCTAAGGTATTCAAAAAATACTTAAAACGGCAAGTGGCTCGCCATTCAAAATGGGTAACCCATTGTTATAGGCGTACTATATTCTTTGGACTACCTAAACTATAACTGTTTTTAAAATATAAATATTTATTAATTCAGTAGTGGATATTCATAAACATCATCATTATATGAAATGTATTCTGATAATGATAATGATGTTAAAAAATAAGATTTTTGCAATAATCACCGTTATAAATAATTCAAAGTATATTTAAAAAAAATTATTTTAGACTTTTAAATGAAAAACATTTCGGTATAGGGACCCCCAAAACCCCCGTATCTTGCGTGTATATACATATATATCATAATACCTATATGTATAAACATGATTTTAATTTCTTTTTTGTATCATATAGGCGGCCACAGCACTTTCTTCGCGTTGCTCAACACGTTCGTGCACATCGTTATGTACTTCTACTACATGGTGTCGGCGATGGGACCTAAGTACCAAAAATACATTTGGTGGAAGAAGTACCTCACCTCATTCCAGATGGTATGGCTTCTGGGTTATATTATCTGCTACAAATTAAAATAAATTACCATTTATTGTGGTGGTCGTTAATCGGAATTTTTTTCCTGTATATATATTTACAGCTGCAGTTCGTATGCATTTTCATCCACCAGTTCCAACTGTTGTTCCGTGAATGCAACTACCCAAAGAGTTTCATGGTTTGGATAGGCCTACACGGCGTCATGTTCTTGTTCCTGTTCTCAGACTTCTACAAATCCAAATACACCAGTGACGGTAAACGGAGACCGGCAAACGACGGAGCTTGTATGGTATGTTGTGTAATTACTAAAATAAATAATATAATAGTACTAGGTACTAGGTAGGTCATGCAAATTGGATGCGAACGGAAGGCGACGAATTATAAAGAGCCCTTGTAATTTCAACTGTTTCTGCGCTCTATTGACCTTAAGGATGTCATTTTTATGACGTTGAAAATATTTGTATCGATCTCTTAGTCACTTTTTATTTATCCCCAAGGACTGCCGGTGCTATAATATACGTTTCACTAAATGTCACGGAAAAAGTATATAATATAATTGACTCGTCGTAATTCTTATGTTAAGTAAAATACTATACCGTATTTCAGCCTTATCCGTATTATATCAGTTATATCCATTGTTTTTGTATATCTTTATGGATTAGCATATTTGACTATTATTGCCCAGAGGAGGGGGAAAACTAGATTTTTACTCATGCAAATTATTCAGGGTAAAAATGTATAGGTTTAAATCTTTTTTTAATTTTCTAAATCAATGCCATTTAATATTATTTAACTTCGCTTTCCCATACAAATTAATAGCGTTTATTATACTATTATCGTTGTTTTTCCCTTTTTCTTAAGTTTCCGACAATTGCGTTATAAGGCCAACACCAAAATATAAACTATAAATAAATTGTCCACAATAATTTTTGATACCAAAAATACTTAAATTCGTTGTAATTTGGCTGTAGATAAAAACTATCATTTTAATATTCTGGAAGTTGTTAAGATTGTTCCTCAGAATGATATATCTATAATTTGACTTAAGATACAATAGTTAATCGTGAAGGTGACCACTTATTTCATCATTTGATCCTAATGTAATTTTGATTACAAACAAACATATATATATGTTTTGACGAAAATTCACTAAAATTCAAAAAAAATCTTTGTGTTAAGTATTCTGATGAAAATAAAATAATTATTATATTAATTTGATATTGATTTTTTCAATTCTTTAATGATTTCCCCTTCAAATGCACCCTTGTCATTATAAAATACCCTCATAAGTTATATCTACGTGAACAAAACAAAAATAATTAACCCTTCTAAATGCCTTTTTATTACTGCAGAACATATAATATAGTGATGTACTGATGTGTATTGTTTTCAAATATCTACCTATATTATATGTAATGTAAGTATTATACCTATACAGATTTTTCCCTTCAATTGAGTTGAATTTTTTGTTTAAAAGTGATCGGCGTCTCTCTCAACATAGACAAAAAGCATTTACGCAGAATCATTTTTTCTATGTTTTTAAGTAACTTTAGAAGAAAATCACCCATTACAAAAAAGATAGGGAATAATATTTTTGAGGGAATCTCATATTTCAGATTTGTCTAAATATTGTCTCAAAACAATTTAAACATCATTTAAATGTACAACATTTTTTTGTTTATTTTGAAAGTCGAATACAAAGTCAAATAACAATAAACTATAAAATCTGTAGGCATGTCATTCCCTCAAAAATATTGTTCTCTATCTTTTTTTGTAATGGGTGATTTTACTCGTAAGATTACTTATAAAAACTTAGAAAAAATGATTCTGCGTTAATGTTTTTGTCTATTCTGCTCGTGGGCCAGCTAAAGAAAACAAATAGTGCACTGACATCCTCTTAATAATAATATGCTGAAATCATAAAACCCGCATCATACACCATAGGTACTACGTTATTTTTATATTATGAACGGAATCATCAAAAGACAAATTGAGCGGCACGCATATAATATATAGTGAAAATTATGACGTATAAAAACAAGTAAAAATTATTAGTATTCTATTTTGACATTTAAACGAGTTTAATGTGTAGTAAAAGTGAATTATGTTAAACGGTTACAATTTCATCGAAACGTAAAATATATAGTAATAACTGTATTAACTTCGATTTATTCAATTTTGATATGACGTTCGACGGCATAAATCTATCATGCTTACGTTATATTTTCATAACTCAATATAGATTTCGTTTAATCGAACTTCGATTCGTTTTTTTATGAGCTTAATAACAGTACCTATGCATACAATTATGTACTCAAATAAAAAAAAAAATATTTAATCGAATTTATTGTCATTTCGTATGACGTCGAAGTATAGTTGTTCGCTATTTATTTTTTTTAAAAGTATTTAAATATGAAAATCGAAAACAGCCACGTCCATCCCGGGTATAATATACTGTTCCGTATATTGCACAAACAGTGATGCTGCAGTCTCAGCGATTCGAAGCATACCCACATTGTTCACATTTACCTACCGTCAACTTAAATCCACTCTATAAATGTTATAGGTGGGTACTCGGATATTTAATATATAGAACATATTATTCGAATGTGCGTCTAATCGAATGTTTTAATTCGAAAATCCGGTGCAGTTTATTATAATATATAGACTTGTCGAGCGTTATAACTTATTCAGTATATTACGTAAACATGCGTTATGCCAACATTGACTTTTGTTTTTGAATATAAATTACATATAATATACGCTCGGCTGTATAGTCCCCGCCGAATCCAAACGCATACTATACACAGTATAATATTATACACTACCACCGCACCTAAACTCTTAAAGGATTTCGGTGTATAATATGTAGTCGTCCGCGTATATATACTTTAGACTTCTTAAAATATGTAGTCGTCCGCGTACATACTTTAGACTTCTTAAAAGCCTGAACTTTAAGATTTATAGATTTTACGGTCGGGGGGGTCGAAAAACAATGCTCGCACTATTATTTATTACAATATATTATTATAGGCATTGTATATTATGTGCGCAGACCTGCAGTTACCTCGATAAATACGAATGTATACATTGGTGTGGTGTAGGTGTTCGTAATTGTACCTTTCTACGGCTTTTGTCGTGTACACGACACAGAGACGTGATAGCAAGGCGCGTTCTATAATATAATATTATATGCCTAGGTGATAATACATATATAGAGTAGAAAACATTTTTTAAATTTAAAATAATAAATATACGAAACAAATTTAAACTCTTTTTACGATTATGCATTATACATATTATAATAAGAAAAACCCATTGACTCAAATTCTAGAAAGAAAAATTGACCTCCTACTAAACATTTTTCTCATAAAAAAAATAATGCTGAATAATATATTATGCAAAATAGAGCAACGTCAATTATAAAATTAATTTAAATCTACGTCCGAGAATCACAATTTTACTCGACTTTTAACCTATATATTTTTGTTTTAATACTTCATCTGAACATTTTTGGTGAATAAAATATATCGATGGGGTGTCACCAATGGGTGACTTCCCCTCTCCCGTAAATCATCCTCATCAAATTTACTCATTGTCATATAATATATTGTAATTACAGATTGTATATACAATTTTGTTCAATAAAAAAAAAAAAAATATCGAATATTGAACAAAAAGTTTTTTTTATCAACAAACAGTTAAAGTTTACACGTGTTGGCGATGATTAGTGGACTACACTCTCGTGAGTTACTCTAATCTGCAGCACTCTGCTCATCTATAAAACATTAAGCTCTTGCATATGTCTAAAAAATAAGCGTTCTTGTTTGGTTTTAAAAAAATTCTGTTACTCTCCTCCTCTCCCAATAAAAGAGGTTTAGAAAACAATCTGCTCCGAAATAAAATCTATTTTGCATGATTCTTTAAGAAAGGTATACTTTTCTGACCAACCGTGTGTAGGAGGTATACCTACTCAGTTTTACCTGGAACAAACTGCGCATCATAGCACGTGTTAAATAACGTAACTATGGTATAGGTAACTACATATTCATTTCTTACGTATTGGTACGCGTATTTGGTTGTACGCAGCAGTCAAATTTTATGGAAAAAAAAATAATGACTACCTACCTACTTAGTAACTACAAACCGACTCGCAAGCTTATTAGTGATAAGTTATTATATAATCGTCACACTCGTTAACGCCTATAGCCTTGATGTGGCGTTAATAATATAATCGTTCGCGTATATACCAATGTATACCTATATAAATTGTTTAGGTACTAACCGCTGTGTGTATGTACCTTTATGGCTGTATATACATGTATAATCGTTGTCGTTTTACAGCCGGTGGAGGGAGCGAGCTACAGCAAGTGTTCCTCCAACGAACACGACAACGTCGTGTACTATTCGAACGGCATCGTCAACGGTTTCAAAACGACTGAAGACGCCAAAACCAAATAGTTATGGGCCGATACGATTAAAACGTTCCTAACCGAATGGAGGAAAACAGCTGGCGGATATATGACACAATCACCAATAATATATAAAGCACACTCAAAACGAAATAAAAATAACGAAACACAATATAATATAATAATATAAAAATGAATTATTTGAAGAAAAAAAAATGTCCATAATAAAATTAAAAATATTTAAAACAAAAAAATTAAAAAATTAAAATTAAAAAAAAAAAAAAAACGAAAAAATGTGTATAACAATATGCAGCAGTAAAACACTTTTACGCTGTTCGTCTGAGGTATTATATTATACATGTAACAACAAATCTAATACGTATAAACAAATATAACTAAACTAAAACAATAATATACGTAGGTATTGTATGTGTAATATGCAAATTATGTACAACATTGTATATTATACGTAAATACTTATATATTATTTGATTTAAAGATCTACTTAGATTTTCAATTTTAATGTAGTGCATTTTTTTTTTTTTTTTTTTATACGAATTTGTAATAAACGGTTTTTTTCTTCATTGGAACCCAGTATTATTCGCGAATTGGTGTGAAAATGTGTGCAATGCTTGAAGTACTTATATATATTGTTATCGGTAGGTAAATTTCGGGGGATGGGTGTAAGTATATAGTGTATGTTCTAGAGCATCGAATAACCTGTTTTTTTTTTTTTTATTTTAGTAACTCGTACACTTTGTTATGATATATATTATATACTTAACGTTCGAATTATATATACCCATCCCGGTGGAATTCTCTCTCTTGTTTTCACTCGAAATATAATAAATACGAATCAATAAACTATACATAATATTACAATATTATATAAATATTATATATTCAAAACGATTAAGATAAAACGGAAGAACAGTACAAACGATAATGAATACACTAATTATAGGTAGAGTTATTTTGGAATTGTGTTACCTTTCGTTTAGATTATGTTATTATGATAATTTTAAATTTATAATTTTTCCCTCGTTTCCCATATTATATCGTTGTGTACAATGTTATACGTACGGCAACGAAAAATATATGTAGAACTCTCTAAGTATAACCTTATATATATAGTGTCAACGATATATATGTATGTAGATTGTAAGAACGTGAGGCCATCGTACTTTTCTGAATCAGCGTGTTTTTTTTTTTTACAATTTTAGTCATATTATTATATATTTACTTTCTTTTTTAATTTTTTGTTTTTTTTTTTGTATGGCTATTAATAAATACAAAAAAATATTTTATGTTTGAATATCTTTTTAACTTTTTGATATATAAGTGTATTTATTTAAAATGAAATTAAAAAAAAAAAAAAAATTGTAAATCAAAAAAAAATTGTTATTTTGCAAAATATAGAATTTTGAAAAAAAAAATTGACATTTTTTTAATTATTATTCATAACCTTATGCAATATAAATGTATTAGGTATATTACAGTACCTATAAATACCTAACACGACGGTGTGTGTTCGACATCGGAGAAAAACTCCTTACCGGAACATTGATGCGTGTTTGCAGCGGAAAAGAAAATCTCGCCCGAACAAAAAACGTGTACCACCGACTTACCATATATATATACCGGTATCATATCAAGTTACCTTGACGATATATTGTGTAGGTAGGTACGATACCGGGCTGCAGAGGATTTGTTCGGGTATTGTTATGCAGGTGAGCCAACCGCAGCGCAATAAATAATAATAATACTATTATATATTATTATATCAGTACAAATTAAATATGTAATAAAATCTTGTTTATACTCTAGCGGGGGACAATTTTTATCGATCCTCAAAAGATAATGTTGTAATATCCGTCGTCGCGTGATGGCGTAGGTGAGATCATACTCTGAAATACACTTTGTAAGTATATAAAGTAAGTACCGAAGTATACAACTATACTGTTTAGTACCTATATTATTATGTCGAGTGCCGCCAGTGCGTTCCATCGTCGTCGAGTTACGACACTTCGGCGTTGGATGACGACGGACTTCCGGCGTTTGTGGTGGGGGGGGAAGTGGCGACGATATAACAATAATAATAATATAATAATATCGTGTACAAGCGAACGGCATTGACGACTCGGCCGCCGTCTCGCGAACAGCTGTTGCAGACGTCGTGTCTCGGTCGAACGACGACATATTAATAATATTGTGAGAAGGACGTATTATATTATGCAGTTCGACTTGTACGTTATTGGCACTATACTGTGCACGATGTGTGGATAGGTACCTCTTACATTATCAATATTATTATGATCGCACGTGCCAGACATCGTCTCAAAGTACTCCTGAAAACGCGACGATCGAATTCGTCTTGAAATTCACTTTAAACGATACTTTCTTGTGTTTTTTAATTCATTTTTTCTCTTCGACGTTAATGTTCTTAGTGTATTCAAATTTTAAAAATATAATTTTCAAAGCTTTGGGAATTTAATTCCAAAAACATGGAAAAGTTTCGTTTTGAATAAATTTAATATTATTTCAAATATTATAATATGTTCTTTCACTAGTTTTATACGATGGCTGAGTCCTCACAATGTTGAGACAGGTCTACATCAATAGAAAACAGGCTGGATCGAATCTCTAACTAGTTTGATTTCAGTCGATTTAAAAATAAACCGTTGAGTTTAAATTAAAAACGTTTTTGACGTTTTTGGTGACAAATGTTTTATGCGTTAATTACAGTAGTACAGGTACACTTTTTTAAATAAAAATTATCCATTAGTTTACTCTGTATAATAATATAGTTTCTGTTGTTTCTTCGAAGAAAATATATAGGTAGATATTTACAAAATAACTTAACGTATTAAATTATTTATATTTTGTTAACTTCAAAGTTCAAACTAGATCACGTCTTGACTTAGGTACTTACTCGCCTTTGTAAAATATTATAACCCGTCCAGTTCATCTTGGCCATCGGCTGACGTCACAGCAGTTACCTGCAACACGGTTGGTATTACCATTGATTATAGAATAATAATATAGTCTATTCTATAATCAATGGTATTACTTTACATATCGCCGATGGCCAAGTTGAACTGCTGGACGGGGGGGTACAATACGTTATTACTACAATTATGATGCTAAACATAATGATTAAAAATTATTATTTTCCATTCCCATCTTCACTGAACATAATGTTATACAATACCAATTTTATGCCACGGCGTGAGAAAAACGAATGGTTCTCACTCGCACGGAAGCATATTATACGAACGAGAAACCGCAAAATGTATAAACAAGATTGAAGGAGATAATAAATAATATGCAACCTTGTCGTTGCGGTCAATATAATTGGTGTCAGCTGTATTTGTGTTAGATTTTTATATTACACAGTGCATGCCGTGATGAGTTCAGTAGGTACCTACCTACTACATTTAATATCTGAAAACAGTGGCGCAACCAGGGGGAGGGGGGGGGGGGGTAAGGGGTTGTAAAGATGACCGTTTCATGAGGTGGAAACGGATATTTTACACTTCGCGAAATTCGAAAATATTTCACAAAATGGTCACTTTTTCATGAGTGGTCACTCCAATTTAACATAACTATTGTAATTTTTTTCACAATCTTGTCGTTCACCTTGTGTACTGAAATACACATTTATCGCACACGCCTATAATCTTTGATTATATCCATTATAACCAAGTGCCGCTGTAATATATAATAAATACCATCTGTATGATATATGACTATTATACCCGCCTAGGGGGACGTAAGCTTAAAAATTTTCATTTGAAAATTTTTTTTCTCACTGAAATTTTCAAATTTTGATTTCTGTGTTTATTTTTAAAAATAATTTATTTTGTAATAATTGTATAACAATTGGGGTTACACTGACTACTAGATAATAGATATGAGTAATAAAACCACAGAATACCGTTGTTCTATGATAAAACTATCTTATGAGGACGCCACACCCGCATGTGTTGTCTCCGTCTTACAAATGTACAACATAGCAAAAACTCTTTTGCGAGGGACAACTTTTCTCGCACCATATTTGTTGTAATTATGACTTTTTGAAAATTTTCACAAAAAAAATTTTTCATGAAAATTTCCATCACTTTAAATGCCTAATTGCCGCACCATCTGAAATGTGTAGATGATATTTATTGGTTTTGATAAAAGTCATACCTAATCTTAATGTCATATCAGCATTTTGGTAATACCTTGATGTTAAAGCAGTGTATATAGTTATACTGTGTGGATCACATTCTATTCGAAAGGTTTTTATTCTACGTCCATCTACGTAATGGATGAGTTTAATGAAAAAACTGAGTTATACCAAAAAATTGATACATATTGATTGGATAAGCCTGGTAAAAAACCATATATGGTTGTAAAATTTGAGTCGATATTACTTTATTTGTCTTCTGTTTTACTGTACTATATTCCGTATTACCAGTGTTGGGTAAATTACTTTTGAAAAGTAATAAAATGACGTTACTTGTTACAGTAAATACTTTTATATAAATTACATTCACGTTACTCGGACATTATTTTTATCACTTTACTTTCCTTTTTTCGTTCAAAAAGAAAGGAGTTACAAATAACGTTACTTTAAAAAAAAAATTCATTACAAAATCGGTCCATAACGACTAATGAGTAGTAGGTACAATAGTATACATTGTTAATTCCTTAATGTTTTACACGGACAAAAAGTTTATGTATTAATTCCTAAAATCTTAAGTAGTATTTTTGATTATTATTTATTATTTGAAACTTTCGGAATCGTAAATAAATTTGATTGATTTTTAAATTTCCTTGCCTCTAGTTTTTGTCATAATTGTACATTCATAAGCAACTTCAGTGGCGTAGACAAGGGAGGGGTCTTGGGGGTCAGATCCCCCCCATTGGCTTTTTATTACCTTAGTAAAATGTGTTGAGAGGGTGGGGGATTTTTCAATTTTTCCCTCCCATTAGATATGTCGTTTTTTTTTTTTTTTTGATCCCCCCGTTTCAGAAATCATGTCTAGGCCACTGGGCAACTTA